GGATCACCTGAGGTCAAGAGTTCAAGACCAGCCTGGCCACCATGGTGAAACCCTATCATTTAAAAAAAAAGACTTTGTCTCAAAAAATAAAACATAAAATGACTAGGGGCCTGGATCTAAGTCACAGGTTTTGCTGAGGGATAAGACTTGTTGCCCTCCGATCTTGGGCTGCTCGTCTCTGCTGCTCAGCTTCCCTGAGAGGACTTCTTGTGGGAACCTTCCTTAGCCTGTATAGAAGGAGATCAGCTATTTAGATTCTTCCCTTTGACCTCTGGGTAATGAAGATAGGCGAAAGGAACAGCAGATCAGGAGCCAATGGCCACAAACTTCAAGAACTGGTTGGAAAAAGGCCCAGCTTCCTGGTCAGGCTATACATTCTGGACAGCATTAGATATTCTCCTCACCCCAAACCTCTTGGGGTTTCATTTTGCTTCCTTCCCTGATAGTCCCTCTCAGGCAGCTTCTGTGCTCAGCGCCATGGGACACTCCAAGGAGGGAGATACAAGAGCTGGGGCCCCTAGGAGCTTGGTTTGGCTGGGGCCACAAATCTCTTGCTAGAAACAGTGATTTCCCTTAGGATCTCTAAAATCCATGTTCCACAGGCTTCCCTGGTGATAGCAGTCATCTGGGTGTTGGTTAGACACCCATGTATCTAGGACACCTGATTGAGGAGGTCTGGGTGAGACCACCTCAATCATGCAAGGCTCCGATGATTTTCAGCTGGCTAATCAAAATGTCCTTGAGTGAATGAGTTTTTCCAACCCTACCTTCTCTATCCGCTTCACACAGAAACCTTCTCAATGCAAGAGCCTTTTTTTTTTTTTTTTTTTTTGAGACGGAGTTTCGCTCTTGTTACCCAGGCTGGAGTGCAATGGCGCGATCTCGGCTCACCGCAACCTCCGCCTCCTGGGTTCAGGCAATTCTCCTGCCTCAGCCTCCTAAGTAGCTGGGATTACAGGCATGCGCCACCATGCCCAGCTAATTTTTTGTGTTTTTAGTAGAGACGGGGTTTCACCATGTTGACCAGAATGGTCTCGATCTCTCGACCTCTTGATCCACCCGCCTCGGCCTCCCAAAGTGCTGGGATTACAGGCTTGAGCCACCGCACCCAGCCAATGCAAGAGCCTTTAAGTGAAAATTGATTTTGTTTGTTTGAGATGGAGTCTTGCTCTGTCGCCCAGGCTGGAATGCAGTGGCACAATCTCAGCTTACTACAAGCTTGCCTCCTGGGTTCAAGCAATTCTCCTGCCTCAGCCTCCTGAGGTGCATGCTACCATGACCAGCTCTTTTTTTTCTTTTTTGTATTTTTAGTAGAGACAGGGTTTCACCATGTTGGCCGGACTGGTCTCGAACTCCTGACCTCAGGTGATTCACCCACCATGGCCTCTCAAAGTGCTGGGATTATAGGCGTGAGCCACTGCAACCCACGAAAAATTGATTTTTTTGAAACCCAACTATTCACAGCTTATGTTGAATTGCTTTACTCGTTAATTATATTCAGAATTGTTGAGCTGTCTGCAGGCAAGGTGAGGAGATACAGATAAGTAAGATTCAGTTTCTGCCCTTAAGGAATTTTTGGTCTGGCACTCAGATCATTATTTTCATAAAGGATGCATTCTTAAAAACCTAAAAAAGTCAGGCCGGGCGCGGTGGCTCAAGCCTGTAATCCCAGCACTTTGGGAGGCTGAGGCGGGTGGATCACAAGGTCAAGAGATCGAGACCATCCTGGTCAACATGGTGAAACCCCGTCTGTACTAAAAAATACAAAAAATTAGCTGGGCATGGTGGTGCGTGCCTGTAATCCCAGCTACTCAGGAGGCTGAGGCAGGAGAATTGCCTGAATCCAGGAGGTGGAGGTTGCGGTGAGCCGAGATCGCGCCATTGCACTCCAGCCTGGGTAACAAGAGCGAAACTCCGTCTCAAAAAAAAAAAAAAAAAAAAAAAAAAAAAAAAAAAAACTAAAAAAGTCAAATATACTAAAGTTAAATGCTAGAATTACAGATGGGTTTCATTTCTAGGGAGCTAAATGATGCCAAATCCTAATGACATCTTGCCTTTTAGACAGTATTTGTGGATCTATCTCCCACGTCATTAATACTCAGTCCTCCACATTGCATACACAGTGGCTGGCTTCAGTATCTTGACTAAAGTGTGGAAGGTTCCCTTGTCTTCACACACCTAAGGATTGCCACCTTCAGTCAATTGTATTATTGAGATTGGTATTTATCACCAAATAGCATTTTCATTTTACCCTCTTCTCAGTTTTTTTTACTCCATTTTGCAGATAATCCCTCTTCTCATGTTTATACAAACAAGCAAAAGGCTTAAAATATTCAAATAATGCCATAAGGTTTATGTGATAGGAATGTTTCTCATCAGCTGAGGTCCACAGCCCAGATTTTCAGCACAGAAAAGGCAGTTTGAGACACCAGCTAAAGCAGCATGCTTGAGTAATTGTTTACAAATTCCTGCAGAACTAGGAGTCACACCCATGTCTTGGAATGAGTCCCACATGGTGCTGTGGGAATCAGGAGTCACACACTAACTGCCATGGCCTGTGCCTTTGGGTGTCTGTTTCTGGGTGCACTGTTAGCAGAGTCAGGCTCATCCTCACCAGCCAGCACCCTGCGCCTCACAAACCCTTAGCAGTTTGCTCTACATCCTCACTGACATCATAGTTTACTCAGCGTCCCACGGACAAACCTCCACACTTACATACTGTGTATGATCAAGTTCAGAATGAATATCTGCAAAATACTGCTTTGGACACATTTGTGTCCGCTAAAGTGATCTTTTGTCCTTATCCTCCCCTGACTCTTTTTTTTGTGAATCAATTTCTCATTTATAAAAGTTTCCACTGGGCATGGTGGCTCATGCCTGTAATCTCAGCACTTTGGGAGGCTGACGCAGGCGGATGATTTGAGGTCAGGAGTTTGAGATCAGCCTGACCAACATGGTGAAACCCCATTTCTATTAAAAATACAAGCCGGGCAGCGGTGGCTCAAGCCTGTAATCCCAGCACTTTGGGAGGCTGAGGTGGGTGGATCACGAGGTCAGGAGATCGAGACCATCCTGGTCAACACGGTGAAACCCCCGTCTCTACTAAAAATACAAAAAATTAGCTGGGCATGGTAGTGCATGCCTGTAATCCCAGCTACTCAGGAGGCTGAGGCAGGAGAATTGCCTGAACCCAGGAGGCGGAGGTTGTGGTGAGCCGAGATCACGCCATTGCACTCCAGCCTGGGTAGCAAGAGCAAAACTCCGTCTCAAAAAAAAAAAAAAACAAAAACAAAAACAAAAAAAATCAGCCAGGCGTGGTGGTGCATGCTTGTAGTTTCAACTACTTGGGGCAGAGGCAGGAGAATCACTTGAACCCGGAAGGTGGAGGTTGTGGTGAGCCAAGATGGCGCCATTGCACTCCAGCCTGGGCGACAGAGTGAGACTCTGTCTCAAATAAAAATAAATGTTTCCCAAGTGCCCTGGTAACTCTGGCTTATCACATAGCGCTTATTATATAGTCATGTATATATAACAAAGGCATTATATAGTTCCCACGCTTAACAATGGGGATATGCTCTGTGCAATTGTTAGATGATTTTGTCATTGTGCGATCATAAAGTGTGCTTGCACAAACCTAGAGGGTATAAGGTACTGTACACCTTGGCTATATGGTATAGCCTATTGCTCCCAGGCTACGAACCTGTGCAGCATGTTCCTGTACTGAATACTGTGGGCAACTGTAACACAATGGTAAGTATTTGCGCATCTAAACATAATCTAACCTAGAAAAGGTACAGTAAAAAACAGTGTAAAAAATGGGCTGGGTGTACTGGCTCACCCCTGTAATTCCTAACGTCTTGGAAGGCCAAGGCAGGAGCATTGTTTGAGCCCAGTGGTTCAAGATCAGCTTGGGCAATGTAGTGGGATCCTATCTCTTCAAAATAATAATAATAAAAAAAAATAGCTGGGCATGGTGGTGCATTCCCTGTAGTGACAGCTACTCGGGAGGCTGAGGCGGGAGGATCGCTTGAGCCCAGGAGTTTAAGGCTACAGTGAGATAGGATCATGCCACTGCACTCCAGTGACAGCAACAGAGCAAGACTGTCTCTAAAAATTTTCCTTTTTCAGTAATAAATTAACCTTATCTTAATGTAACTTTTTAACTTTATAAGCTTAACTTTAAAATCTCTTTTGTAATAACACTTAGATACATTGTACAGCTATACAAAAACATTTTTTTCTTTATATCTTTATTCTCAAGTTTTTTTTTTTTTTGAGATTGAGTTTCACTCTTGCCCAGGCTGGGCTGCAGTGCCACGATCTCGGCTCAAGGCACACCTACCGAGTCTGAGACTACAGGATCGTGCTACCACGCGCCGCTTAGTTTTGTCTGTTTAGCAGAGATGGGGTTTGGCCATGTCGCCAGGTTGGTCTCGAACTCCTGACCTCAGGTGACCCACCTGCCTCAGCCTCCCAAAGTGCTGGGATTACAAGTGTGAGCCACTGCACCCAGCCTCTGGCTGCACTATCTGTGGCAGAATGGGACAGGTAAGACTGAGAACCAGGATGTCTGGCTTTTGCCTGTAACTGGCTGTGTGACCCTGGGGAAGTTCTTCCCCTTTTTGGGTTTTAGTTTTTTCATCTGAACAATAAATGGAAGACTAGGCAATTGGTATGCTTTTCATACATTAGAGAGTTTTTCCATACCAACATTCTAGAAGCTAGCTCCAGATACTTTCTTGTGCCCCTTCTCTTTCATGAAAAAAGTACAATACTGCTGACATAGTTTGGATGTGTGTCCCTATCCAAATCTCATATTGAAATGTAATCCCCAATCTCAGAGGTGGGGCCTGGTGGGAGGTGACTGGATCGTGGGGGTGCATTTCTCATAAATGGTATGACATCATCCCACGTGGTACTGTCTCTCTTGAGAGTGAGTTCTTGTGAGATCTGGTTGTTTACAAAGTGTGTGGCACCTCCTGCAGAACTGTGAGCCAATGAAACCTCTTTTCTTTATTAATAATTACCCAGTCTCCGGTATTTCTTTATAGCAATGTGAGAATGGACTAATACCACTGCCAATTTTCCTTTTCTTAAAAAATAAAGTCCAAAATAACACCCTAAGATCCCAGGTTTTACACAAGGCAGTTGTAATCTCTCCATCATCCTCACTGTCCATTTCTATCTTTCTGGGCTAGACACTGTGTGTCAGAGCAGCTCAGGGAACCCTGGGATTCAAAGCTGGTAGAATGGACCTTCCCTCCCCCCACAAGCTGTAATAACCTGCTGGAATCCCACACAACCTGAGGGCTTCACTTGTCAACAGCTCTGCATTTGGTGTTTTGTTTATGACTGAGTTGCCCAGGAAAATGGCTTGAGGCTGCACTCAACTGTTTCAAGGAGCAGCACCGGAAAGAGGCTGCTCAGTTCCCTGCGGTTCCTGATGCCACCCCTTCTCTTCAGGGTACGGTTACCTAGAGGACAACAGTACATGAGGCTTCCAGCCCAGCCCTAAGAGATCCACCCCAAAGACCCCACAGAGCCCAGCATGAGAAGTGGCGCCACAGGTCTGGTGTCAGGCAAACCTAGGTTGGAATACTGGCTCCATAAGGAAGTCACTTAACCTTCTCTGGTGCACAGGTTCTTCATCTGTCCCCACCTCTGACGGCTGTTCTAAGAATGAAAGTTAAGCTACTTAACACAATGCCCGGGATGCCAGAATTAGTCTAAATGGTGGAATCCTGGGGAATTTGTCATCTTGCGGGTTCTCTAGGCAGGCAGTTTGCCAGGGGTGGGGCTGAGATCCAGATGGGCTCTAGATCACAGTCAGCTGCAGAATCACGTGGCTGCTGGAACTGAGGCCCCCCCAGGTCCCTGTAGGAGCTGAGGGTAAGAGACCCATTTGCCAAACAACTTAGAACTTTGGGCCTCAGTTTCCTTGTCTTTAAAGTAGCAGGTAGAGTTCATAAAAACAATTTAACACAGGCTGCCTGCAATTCCCCTGTAATCTCTCCCAGTCAGGGGAGGCCTCTGTGAGAGTGAGGACAGGAAAACAGGGACAAGCGTGATGGCTCAGGCCTATAATCCCAACACTTTGGGAGGCCAAGATGGGAGGATCACTTGAGGCCAGGAGTTTGAGATCAGCCTGGGCAACACAGTGAGACTCATCTCTGCAAAAAAAATAAAAGAATAAACGAGGCATGGTGGTACACATCTGTTAGTCTTAGCTACTTGGGAGGCTGGGGCAGGAGGACTGATTGAGCCCAGGAGTTTTAGGCTGCAGGAAGCTGTGCCTGGGTGACAGAACAAGACTTAAAAACAAAAAACAAACAAACAAAAAAGCCCAGCACAGGAGGGGCTATGGGTAGAGGGGTATTCCCAGTGGATGGGCTATTACTGTTTTCTCAGGTTGGTCAAGATCACAGGCCCAGGGAACGCTGGGGCCAGAAAGCACTAAGGCCACAGCATCAACATCTACTTCCCAGAGCGTAACATCAAGGCCCAGAGCAATTGGGTAATGTGCTGGGAGTTAGTGAGTTTGAGGGAGAGTCTAGGTTAAAACTCAGATCTCCAGACAGGTTTAGGGAGGATCTTAGACGTTTTAGAAAACATAATGCTTAGTTCTGGCCGGGCATGGTGGCTCACACCTGTAATCCCAGCACTTTGGGAGGCTGAGGCAGGCAATCACCTGAGGTCAGGAGTTCGAGACCAGCCTGGCCAACATGGTGACACCCCATCTGTACTAAAAATACAAAAATTAGCCAGGTGTAGTGGTTTCTGTAATCCCATCTACTTGGGAGGCTGAGGCAGGAGAATCACTTGAACCCAGGAAGCAGAGGTTGTAGTGAGCCAAGATTGTACCACAGCCTGAGTGACAGATTAAAACTCTGTCTCAAAAAAACAAAAAAAAACAAAAAAAAAACAAAAAACAGAAAACATAATGCTTAGTTCTGGTTTAAATTTGCTCACTGACTTTTCTTCTTTGGAGAATCAAATCTAGCTTATGACTCATAAACTAGATAATTATGGTAGTCTAGTTTATGATTCAGATACACTAGGGTTGTAAATTCCTACAATTCAACTTCATGATTTAGCTCTAGTGCTGTAGGAGGGGGCCCAGAGCTGGGGTCTGTCACTGCACTCAGGCCTGTGGGGGCTGGGTAACACCACCCTGCAGGTGATGGTGAGAAAAAGAGGATTGGGTGTTGTTCTGTAGAGAGGGGATAGGGCAAGGCCTTGGGGACAGGGCACCGGGGGTCCACCAGCCTGTGTGGCCTCAGTCTCAGGGTGAAGGAACACCCAGGTGGCAGTAGAAGCCTCTAGGGAAGCTCAGCTGGTATCGTTGATGGGAGTCCGGGTGCCACCCAGCAGTCTCTCCTGCTCGCTCTCCTCTGCTGGGGGCCGGCCCCTAGACAGGCGGCCCAGCAGCGGGCGGTGCAACCCGTTGTAGAGGGCAGTGCCCATAAGGAGTATGAGGAAGCCAAGGATCTGCAGTGCATGGAAGGCCTCCCAGCCCAGTGCCAGACTCAGTGCCCAGATGACAACAGTGCGCAAGCTGTCCAGCACCATGCGGGTGGTGGCGCTCAGCTCCTTGGTGACGCTGATGCCTGCGAAGTTGAAGAAGGCGATGCTGCTGATGTTGCCCATCAGTGCCACGGCAATGAGCGGCTGCCGGCCCACCTGGCAGAAGGCGTCCAGCGCATCCTCCAGCGTCCCACGAGGGTTCCCGCTGAAGGAGCCGGCGGGGATGTAGTACATGGGCACCAGCAGCAGGGAGAGGATCACGAAGCCAAAGAGGCCTGGGGAGTAGAGGAAACAGTGACACTTTCCCCCTCCCCCAAGTACAGCCCACCAGCTCAGCCTCCTCTAATCTTGGTCACTCCCTCCCAGTGGTCCTTAGGCCGGCTCCCTCCTTTCACGTCCCTCAGCCTCTCATCAGGAGCTTGTGGCCTATTAGATGGGTTCCGGCTGTCCCTTCTCCACTTTCACTTAGGGTTTTTTTGACTGGATCAAGAGTAAGAAATACATTTTATTTTGTGACCCAGTACATGTGTTCACGTGAACACAGGTTCACAGACACACAGGCACACTCATGAAAACATAACTACCCTTACAGTATACAATGCTCTGATATTTTAAAATTCTATTCGTTTAAAAAAAGAACTGCCAGCTGCAACTGACTACATTATTTTCACAAGTTTGGAAAAACACAGCTTTCTAGTTCAGTGTGTTACTGGTCTCTGACAAGGAGCTTGCGCCAGAAGGTAAGTCCATGCATTGCTTCCTTCATTAAGGTCTGGCTTGAAAATAGAAATGACTGGAAACAGACTGCATGCTCGCTCGGTGACATAGCTGATTCAAATTCTGCCTAAGCTCCTCAGCTCACTGGGGCCAGACGGGAGCTGCTCCCCAACAGGTGCCAGCCCCCAGGCCATTCTTTGAAAGCACAGCTCTGTCTTGCTAATCTCATCATTTTGATAGTTACTTCCCTGCTCAAAAACTTTTCAGTGATTCCTCGCTGCCTGTTTATTTAAAGTCTAAATCTACTTGCCTGACGGTAAGGTTCTCTAACGACATGACCCCAACCTACTTAATTCCTCATTATTTCCTCAACATTAAACCTATATTGCAGTCAAATTATTATTATTATTTTTTGAGACAGAGTCTTGCTCTGTTGTGCAGGCTGGAGTGCAGTGGCGCGATCTCAGCTCACTGTAGCCTCCGCTCCCCCAGGTTTAAGAGATTCTTCTGTCTCAGCCTCCCGAGTAGCTGGGACTGCAGGCATCCGCCACCACGCCTGGCTAATTTTTGTATTTTTAGTAAAGACGGGGTTGTGCCATGTTGGCCAGGCTGGTTTCAAACTCCTGACCTCAAGTGATCCACCTGCCTCCGCCTCCCAAAGTGCTGGGATTACAGGCATAAACTGCCATTCGCAGCTGCACTGAAATTATTCCTTACTGATTTTCAAATTCATCTGTAGCCCCCCATGCCTTTGCTCTGTTTGGACTTTTCCTGCTCCTACTACTGCCTGTTGAAATGTGCAGCTCGAATGCCATCCTGCCTGCCCTGAGAGATTCAGACCGCCATGGTCAATGAGACGTCAGTTGAGCACAAGTGGTCCAAGCTTGAATTCACTGACTGCCCTTTCTTCCTGCTGGTCACCTTCTCTGAAGGGCTTGCATTTCATTCATCTCTGTCCTTGGTCTCCTCTAGCTCCTGGCACAGCAGGGGTCAGAAGATTTGTCAAAACACATCTGGAAGGCAAGTTGGGGGCAGGAAGTTCACCCCACCCCCCGCCCAGTGAACCCTGGCACCTTGTCCTGTGCTCCACTCCCCATGTTCCCTTCCACCCCACTCCTTCCAGGTCCCTGTTCCTATACACACCCTCGGTGCCAACTGCTCGCAGCGGGTGTACGTTGTGTTTGTAGACGAACTTCTCCTCTAGCACCATCTGGATGGCGACGATGATCTGGGCCATGATGATCAACAGGTCCCCTGTAGGGAAGGAGGGACTCAGATGAGACAAGGGCTGCACTGGGGCTGGGGGCCAGGAAAGCATGGCCACAGGGACACAACATGCCAGCCCCTGACCTCTGCAGGGCTCCCTATAGTTCACAGGCAGAGTCAACACTGCCTGTCCCTGATCCCCTGGTCCCTGAGGGGCAGGCCAACACTGCTGGGCTGAGGCCCCAAAGGCCTGCCTGTGTCTGAGAGCTGCCCCACAGGGTGAGATGCAGGTCTTTTAAGAAGCAGCAGGCTTTAAGACATTTCTTGGTTGATCCTGACCCTGAGTGACCCAGGACGGTCACTTCATTGTAAAACGGGCTGTGATGCATCCCTTCGGGGCCTGTGGGGGTCACTGTGATGATGAACACACAGTGCTCAGCACCAGGCTGGGCACTTGGTAAGTGCTCGATAAGCACCCATTCCTTTCCACTCCCAAATCCAGTAGGTTGTATGCCTGCATCTGTATCAAAGGACAAGCCAGCCTCTCTCCCTCCCTGGCCTGCCACTCTTCCCTGGTGCAGCCACATCCCTCTGCAGTCTTCCCTACATTCTATCCATCACCTCCAGGGCTACCCACCTCACCCAGGGCTTGGCATATGGCAGAGCCTGTATGAGTCTGTGCTGGGCTCCCGAGAAGGACTGGGCAGGATAGGGCAGCCCCACATCCCTGCCCCTGGCCGTACCTGTAATCACTTCGCTGAGCTTGTGCTGATGGTCATCCTTGCTCAGGAGGTCAGCCAGGCCCACGACCACCAGCCCTGCAATGGTGGCTAGGATGCCCAGCCACTGGTTCAGCACCAGCCTCCGGCCCAGGAAGGCCACCGAGAAGAGGCCAGTGAATATGATCACCGCACCCCGCAGCATCTGGAAGCTGGAGGCACTGGTCATGTTCAGAGCTAGGAGAGGAGAAATGAATGACAGTTAGCTTCTGAAGGCAAAGGCCATCTGTCACTAAGGATTTTTCGGGGATGGAGGCATGCTGAGCTACTACTAAGTGCTCGCTCAGTCCTGCCTGTGATCCTGTGCATGTGAAGTCTGGGCAAATGGCGGGATGAGTGGAGGCGGGTGGGACGGGGCTGTTTCATCAGTAGCCCCTTCAGCCACAGCCTCCCGAGCTCTTCTCAGCCTGGCCCGGTTACTCACCCACATACATGAGGCTGGTCCCTGTCATGTCACAGAGCGCTGGGGGCAGGAAAAGAAGGGGGTTGAAGGGCTGCTGGGGGTCCACGCTGGAGTCTGATTGTCCGGCGGCTCTGCACCGGAGGAGGTAGAAGGCAGCCAGGCAGGAGAATTCCCCCAGGAACATGCCCACTGCCTGCAGGGATGAAAACCCGAGGACTTCAGAGCTGGAAGCGACCTTGGGGGTCATCTTTGACTGTTTTTTGTTTTTTTTTTTAATGCAAACTTTTGTCAAACAAGAGCTTACCCAGAACCCCAACATGTATAATAGACAAATGCAGAACTGCCGTGGAGGCCAGAGACCGCCTCCTAGGTCCACCCCTAAGACCCCATACATCCTGATGAACCCTAAGGCTGTGCAGAGCCCTTTCTGAAAATAACCTGTCTAGGCCAAATTGCAGGTGGAGAAACCCAACAGAGGCTCAAAGACTTATGTAAGGCCACCAAGCAAGTTGCTGGTAGAGCTGGAGCTGACATTTGAGTCTCCTGATTCTCAGTTCAACAAATAGTATCTTCCATTTATGGTGTCTGCCCTGTTCCAACTGCGGTCTGGGCTCTTAGTGGATAGAGAGCTGACTTTAGTCACTAGGGCTGATGTTTTCCAGGTATCCTGACTTGGATGTGGTGAGGACATGACCACTTGCCAGGACTTTCACAGACGATGGTGTTCTTTGCCCTCTTCTAAACCTTGGATTCTGCTTTGGGAAGGGAGAGAGAGAAGTGGATGGCTCTTCTGGGAGCAGGAGAAGGCTCTGCTCCTAGATCAGGAAACAGCCTGGCCTCATGGTGGGGGTGCCTGGTCTGAGGCCCAGGAAACAGGAGGTAGGAGGGTCAGGGCTAGATACCTGGAGGAAGGGATGCTGGAAGCTGTGCTCTTTGCTCCCTCCGCAGCCCTCGGCCATGAAGTTGTCTGCCCATCTGTAGGAGAGACAAGGAAGGTCAGACCCTGGCAGCATCCTGCCCTGGTGCTAGTGAAGAGGCTCACACCTCTTAATTGGGTGACTCAGCCCCAGAGTGGGACTTCCTCTCAAAGGGGCCAGTCTCCACATGAAGGAGTTTTAACTTGGCATTTCCTCAAGTTACTGTGTCTGTGCCTCTATAATGCACAGAAATCATAGATACCCTCATGTCATTATAGTCACTGTATATATTGTGAGGTATCATTTACACTCATCACTCATGAAAATTACAGTAGTCAGACCCACTTATAACTTAATGTAGTAGAAAGCATATCTATATACCTGGGTGCAGGGGCTTATGCCTGTAATTCTAGCACTTTGGGAGGCTGAGGTGGGTGGATGACTTGAGGTCAGGAGTTTGAGACCAGCTTGTCCAACATGGTGAAACCCTCTCTCTATTAAAGATACAAAAACTAGCCAGGCGTGAGGCGGAGTCTGCAGTGAGCCAAGATTATACCACTGCACTCCAGCCTGGGTGACAGAGCAAGATCTCGTCTTAAAAAAAAAAAAAGCATATCTATATATATCACTATAAAACAAATTTGCTTTTTTAAGTGTTTGATAACTGTATTTCCATTTAATTACTTCTTTTGTAATCCTTGGTCTTTTTATTTACACGTTTTAAAACATTACTGTAAGAACAGGTCCATAGGCTATGCTAGACTGTCAAAGGGTCCCATGGCATGAAAAATATCAAGAAGTTCTGGTCTACAGGAGTACCTGGGCAATGGGAAATGACCACCTAATACAGAACACCTGCTTACTTCAAAGCACCTGAATGGTTTGGAAGAGCTTTCTTTTTTTTTTTTTTTTTTTTTTTTGAGGCGGAGTTTCGCTCTTGTTACCCAGGCTGGAGTGCAATGGCGCGATCTCGGCTCACCGCAACCTCCGCCTCCTGGGTTCAGGCAATTCTCCTGCCTCAGCCTCCTGAGTAGCTGGGATTACAGGCATGTGCCACCATGCTCAGCTAATTTTTTGTATTTTTAGTAGAGACGGGGTTTCACCATGTTGACCTGGATGGTCTCGATCTCTTGACCTCGTGATCCACCCGCCTCGGCCTCCCAAAGTGCTGGGATTACAGACTTGAGCCACCGCGCCCGGCTGGAAGAGCTTTCTAATGCTGACTTTCAAGCAGGTGGCAAAGACATCATACTCATGGCATGACTTCCCAGTCAGCACCTGGCAGATGGTGATAACTGATTATGAAATACTTCCCCATGAGCCCAGAATCCTTTGTGGCATAGAGCTTTGGGCAGCTTAACCACCAATCACTCTGAACTGTCTGCCATCTGTCCTGAAAATTCCTTCTCTTGAAGTTCATCTTTGCTGGGCTTGGTTAGTTCTGTGGAGTCTTGTCTAATCTTTCATTTGAAAGCCCTTAGGTACTTGGGGGCTTTTTGACCTTCTTCTGAATCTTCTCATCTCCTGGCTAAACAGCTCCAGCCTCCCCTGACCTTTCACCCCTGGCCACTGACTTCTGGAAGTCCTCTGGTGGACCCAGGCCCAGAGCCAACAGCGTGATCTGGCCCAGACAGAGGCTGGCAAGGTATGGCCCCTCCCTCATGTTGACACCCCGAGTTCACTGACACAGCTCCAAATGCATCAGTCACATCATGTGTTGACTCAAGTCAACACAGACCCAGAGCCATTTCCTGTGGGCCGCAGACCTGCTCCCACTGCAGCATGCCCTATGTAGGCAGTGGATGTCTCTAAAGCGCAAGACTCAGGACTTCTTTTTATTAAATGTCTTTCCTTGAAATGTCTTTCTAGGGCAGTTCACATTGCAGTGCACAGCCTTGCACTGCCATTGGCTCATCTCCGTAGTGAGCCTCAGCTCCCAAAGGGTGGGGGAGTCCTCCGGTTCCCGCACTTCCCCCGCAATGCCTGCAGCATGCACCACTGTTTGTGCTGCAGTTAAGAGTCTAGGTTTGACAAAGACCCTGTCCAGCTTTGGCTTCTCTATGCCTGAGTTTGGGGAAGAAAATAGGGCTATGGCAAATCTATTCCACAGTGAAAGACACCAGCTGCTCCTGGAGATGTGGAGAAAGAGGGGTAGTTAAGAGTGCTTGTCATTTTTGAGAATAGCAGGAGCAAAGGAGAGTTGAAGGGAGAAGTTTGGACAGAACTGGGTAGAAGGCAGAGAGAAACCTGGAGCCTGGCATGGCTTGGGGACCAGGCTATAACCAGTCCCAGTCTCAATGGGGCACAGAAAGCCCTGCTATATATAGAACAGGGAGTCTGGGAGCAGGGGAGACTCCACCCCAGGTCAGGAAAACACCTGACTTTATGGGCTGGAGTCTCATTTCTTTGTCTCTTTTTTTTTTTTTTTTAGAGACAGGGTCTTGCTATGCCGGCCAGGCTGGTCTTGAACTCCTGGGCTCCAGCAATCCTCCCACCTCAGCCTCCTGAGTTGCTGAGATTATAGGCATGAGCCACTGCACCCATGGTACCTAATTTCTGCCTGACTTGCTGCTGGCTTTTGGGTCCCTGGCCAGGACAGGACATGGAATGCGGGTAAGGGCTACAGACCAATTGTATGGCTCACACCAGCAAGGCTGCTCTTGAATCCAGTTTTGCTTTTGCAGAAAGAGCTCCCTGAGAAGGCCTGTGTGAGGCAACTGAGTGAAACACAGGCAAAGCAAGGAAGAGAGAAGAGGTCAAGCCTTACCAAGGGCACAGAGCCAACTGCCCAGAGCAAGTGAAGTCAGAGAGATGGGAATCCCCAGGCCATGAGCCAAGGCTCCTCTAGGAGGGACAAGGGAGCTAGTGCCAAGTACATGAAGGTTGACCAGAAGCCTCAGGCAAGGATCATTATTATTATTATTATTAATTTTATTATTATTATTATTTTCTGCAGGGGGCAGGTCTGGAAGCTGCTTCCTCATTCTGGTACCACACCCAGATCACAGACTGGTAGGCTTAAAAAGTCCTCCCCGATCTGGCAGTGGAGTCACCACCCAGAACTCATGCTGCGCTAATGCCTGAGTCACTTATAGTAATGACAACTCACACACACAGCACATTCTGGTTCCCCATTCACTGTCATCTGAGACAGCTCAGCACCCAGCTGCTTCTACATCTCTCAATCCCTTGCTCCTGGCACATTACTCTACAGAAGCTCAACACTTTCTGTTGAATGAATGAGACTTCCAGATCCCTCCCAGCAAACAGGTCAGGTACTGCAGTGTAGAGGCTGTGTTTCCATGAGTCCTACTTCCCACCTGAGTTTGAGGTCCCTGTGCTGATAGAACAAGCTGGTCCATAGGGGAAACCCCTTGGGGTCTATCCTTGCCCAAGGTTGGGGTGCTTCTTGGGAAGCCGGCTGTAGGGCTGGTGCTGTGCTCCCCACCTCCCACAAGGCTTATCTTCGCTTTCTCCACGAGTAGGTCTGCCTAGACAGGGCTGTCTGGCAGTGCTCCCAGCTGGGGAAATGGAATCTCTTTGTATCTGATGGCCTGGGTTAGGCTAACAGTCCAAGGGATTATGTGTCGGCAGCATGGGCTGCCCTGCCCAGTCTGAGACGCTCAGGCCTGCAGGTACCTTGGGGCAGAAAGCCAGGCTTCTCATCCTGAATTGGAGATGGGTTTTGGCTCATTGTGCAGAATCAGAAGGACCCTAGCCTCACAGGCTAGAGCCAAAATCCAGCCCCAGTTTACCTGGGGATGACAGCAATGACCCTAAGGTGGGAAGCACTTTGCTGTCAGTGCTTTGCAACATTTGATTTTTTTTTTTTTAATTTTTAAAATATATGGAATGCTTCATGAATTTGCGTGTCATCCTTGCGTAGGAGCCATGCTAATCTTCTCTGTATAGTTCCAATTTTAGAATATGTGCTGCTGAAGCGAGCATCAACATTTAATTTTTGTTTTTGTTCTTGTTTGTTTCTGAAACAGAGCCTCGCTCTGTCACTGAGGCTGGAGTGCAGCAGTGCAATTTCAGCTCACTGCAACCTCCACCTTCCAGGTTCAAGTGATTTTCCTGCCTTAGCCTATTAAGTAGCTGGGATTATGGGCACCCACCACCACACCCAGCTAATTTTTATATTTTTTGTAGAGATGGAGTTTCACCATGTTGGCCGGGCTGGTCTTGAACTCCTGACCACCCACATTGGTCTCCCAAAGTGCTGGGATTACAGACATGAGGCACTGTGTGCAGCCAACATCGTTTTTTTTTTTTTTTTGAGACAGGGTATTACTCTGTTGCCCAGGCTGGAGTGCAGTGGCATGATCACAGCTCACTACAGCCTCAGCCTCCCAAGGCTCAGGTGATCCTCCTACCTCAAACTCTTGAGAGCTGGGACTACAGGCATGGGCCACCATGCCTGGCTAATTTTTGTATTGCCTTGTTATGTTGCCCAGGCTGGTCTCAAACTCCTAGCCTCAAGATCTACCTGCCTCAGCCTCCTAAAGTGCTGGGATTATACAGGTGTGAGCCACCACACCTGGCCCCTGGCTCCTTAAATGCATAATTCATAGGGCACTTTATGGGGGCTGTCCCGTTAAGCCTCATAACAAGGATCCTCATTTTAGATGAGGACTCTGAGCCTTGAGGCAGATCCAGGGTCTAAACCTTGCTTGAATTTACACTCAGAAAAGGCAGAGTACAGAGAAAAGCCAGAGTTTTGAATCCCACAGGCTGGACAAGTTATAGGAATAATCATACCAACACTGACAAACTGTCAGAAGTAACACATGATACAAGGATATATACATGACCCGGCACATGACAGGTATTCAGCAAAACTCATTTTCTGCCCCCTCCCCTTTCCCTTCACTGAGCAGAAGCCATCTCCCCCTTGTAGCGCTCAGCGTGGCCCCAACTGCACTTCAGCCTGAAAGCTTCTGGAAAAACATCTGGAACCTGTCCTGTTGGCTGAGGCACAGGTAGCTGGAGGGGCCTCAGGCTATTATTGTCCCTGTAGTTCACAGAGCCACAATGCTGAAATAGAAGAAACTCAGC